GCGGATATCTCGCTCTCTTTAAGGAGATTCAAGCCCACTGCAGCAAATGTTTTTCACCGGTCCAGCAGTAGTCCTCTTGACTTGTCCCCTCCAGGATACAACAACTTTCACAAAGTATAACTCAACAACTCTGGACAAGAGTTAAGTCCAAAGCTCCACAAAAAAGAGCACCTCGTCTTCAACTAATAAGAACTCTCTTTTTGACAAACTTTATGCACTCTATATTTTTTCTTGTGTATATTGTGTATCACAAACCAAATGAAGACCACCACTATTTATACTAGAAGAAGTCTTCCTAGCAATGAATAGTAATATAAATGGTGGAGTAAATAGTGAAGATAATGACCTTAGGAGTTACATGAGTTATAAGGTATAATAAAGGAATAAAGAGTGAGATAATGGAGAAATAATATGAACAACTTATGGCCAAGATTCTACTAACGATGCTGCAAGAGAAACAGTCAGTAACATCAGCACTTACTCCAAATGGAGTAATGCTCCAAATATATTTCCAACCGTTAAGACAAATGAGTTACCACCAACGGATAACTTGACAGCAAAGGCATCATTTGATTCCAAACTTTTAACAAATTAATATATAAAATATTAATGTTAAAATGTTGACCAACAATTCCATAAAAGGGTAATATTCCTAAATAATTGCTCAAACATAAATGACTATTCAATAATCTGTTGGCTAGGATCTCTAGCTTTTTGTCCAACCGACATCACCATAATGTACATCTAGTACTACGATTTCTGAACTTCAAAAGTTATGGTCAATTCCAATTATCTAATTCTCTTTTTAACAAATTTTCAATATTCTCTCATTCTATTTTATATACTAGATACAAAAGTCCGGGTAAACCCCGACCTAATATATATTACTTTATTTGTTTTAATTTATGTGATACAAATAGAATTAGTAGAGTCAACTAAATTATTAAATATTTTCTTATTATTTTTCGAATAATATAGGTGGAACATGTGATATTTTATAAGTTAATCGATTTTTCAATATATTGTTTAAATATTTAAGTTATTAATGATTGTGATTTACGTGCTATATATGAAATTTTAGAGTTAATCATTTTTTTAATATATTAAGTTGTTAATTATTGTGATTTATGGTATTATTAGTTAACGTAATTTTCAAATAATATATGCTCACAAGTTGTTAAATACTTTAAGTTGTAATTTTATAGTACTTTTAACGTAATTTTCAAATACTATGTGTTATTCACTCTGTCCCAACTTACATGACACATGTGAAATTTTGAACTCAATCAAATTTTCAGTATGTTTTTTAAATATTTTAAATTTTTAATATTGCAATTTATAGTACTCTTAATTAACGTAATTTTTAAATAATATATGTTATTTCCCCTGTCCCAATTTATGTGGTATATGTGAAATTTTAAGAGTTGATCAAATTTTTAATATTTTTTAAATACTTTAAGTTGTGATTTATAATACCTTAACGTAATTTTCAAATAATATATAGTACTTTATTTATCACAATTTATGTGGCACGTGTGCATTGCAACTTATAGTACTCTTAATTAACATAATTTTAATTTTTTTTAAATAATACATGTTATTTCTCTACTTCAATTTATGTGGCAGATGTGAAATTTTGAGAGTTAAATCTAATTTTTAATATATATTTTAAATACTTTAAGTTGCGATTTATAGTAATATTAACGTAATTTCCAAATAATTTATATTACCCCCTTTATCATGTGACACATGTGGAATTTCGAAAGTTCATCATATCTTAATATGTTTTCAAATATTTTAACTTGTTAATTTACGGGTAAAATTTTGAGAATTAACCAAGCTTATAATATTTTAAGTTAACGAAATTTCATTATAAAGAGAAAAATATTGAAATTAAAACGGATAAAATGCGAATTATAAATGGAGGAAAAAAGGAGAAGGGCAAATTGGTCAATTCACCGACAGAGCCTAAGCTCCTCAACATTCGCTTCATAATTTAAATATACGACATACTAAAAATGAAAGCAAGAGAAAAAAAAATTAAAAAAATAATTAAATATAAATAGTGGGCTCAACATTCGTTTTTTCTCTCTGTACTTATCCTGATCAATTTCATTCTATAATTAACTCGATATTAATCATCAAAATTTTAATATTGAACAATTAACGGATCAAACTTCCTCGATTTCTGCGAAAATCTTTAATAAAACATAAAAACTAATAGGAATCAAAATTCAAATTGTGTATCATGACAATGAAGAATTTTATCACTAGATCATTCTTACTTGTTGAACAAATACTTTCAGTATTTTTTATTGGGCAAATTACAGAAATCACATATTTTAAAGATAAAATTATAATCTATCCCTTAAAAGTGTATAGTTACAGAATTCCCTCAAACTGATACAATAATATAAGCGCTGATACATTAATTTGATGCGCGAGATACATTAATCGTTAAGTAAGATACATTACATTTTATACATGATGCACTAATCTGATGTACATTTTATACATGATACACTAATCTGATGCACAGATTTACAATAATATAAGCGCTGATACATTAATCTGATGCGCGAGATATACTAATCTGATGCGCGAAAATGAGGAATTTTGGAGATTTATAAAACTTATAGGGGATAATGTATTAGCGCTTATATTATTGTATCTCGCGCATCAGATTAGTGTATCATGTATAAAATGTACATCAGATTAGTGCATCATGTATAAAATGTAATGTATCTTACTTAAGGATTAATGTATCTCGCGCATCAGATTAATGTATCAGCGCTTATATTATTGTATCCGTTTGAGGGATTTCTGTACTTATAAACTTTTAAGGGATAAATTGTAATTTTTCCTTAAAAATATGTGATTTCTGTAATTTGCCCATCCCTTAAAAGTTTATAATTACAGAATCCCTCAAACGGATACAATAATATAAGCGCTGATACATTAGTCTGATGCGCGAGATACATTAATAGTTAAGTAAGATACATTACAATTTATACATGATGTACTAATCTGATGTACATTTTATACATGACACACTAATCTGATGCGCAAAATTACAATAATATAAGCGTTGATACATTAATCTGATGCGCGAAAATGAGGGATTTTGGAGATTTGTAAAACTTATAGGGGATAATAGTATATATTTAAGTCTATGTCTGAATTTATGTGAGTATGTGTAAATTTTGAGAGTCAACTAAATTTTTAATATGTGTTTTTAAATATTTTATATTGTTAATTATTGTGATTTATAATACTATTTTTTAGTAATTTTTAAATATAAACATATAACATACTTAAGAGAAAAGTAAGACATAATTAAAACGGAGAAAGGTGTTAAATATAAATAGAGGAAATTGAAGTGGAAGGACAAATCGGAGATTTATTTGACTGATCCTACGCAATAACTACAAGTAAATTAACTTGAACATTTTTGAAGGTAACTATTTAGGATGGCTAAATAGTCACACGTGGCAGTTAATGAATGGATTAAAAGGAAAAATTAACCTGCACTTTAAAAGTGAAAGAGATTAAATTGGTTGACCCACAAAGTTGATTCACATGAAAATTACCAAAAACTCCTCTTGACCCTAAGCTCCTCTCATTCTCTCTTATAATTAAAAAAATACTAGATATAAAAGCTCAGGCAAGCCCGGACCCAATATATATTGATTTAGTTATTTTAATTTATGTGATATAAATAAAATTAGAAGAGTCAATTAAATTTTTTAAAATTTTTATTGTTTATTATTTTTATTATATTTTTAACGTACTTTTCAAATAATATCTTTGGCACATGTGATATTTCGAGAGTGAATTAATTTTTAATATTTTAAAATGTTAATTATTGTGATTTATGTGGCGCGTGTGAAATTTTGAGAATTAATTAAATTTTAATATATTTTTTTTAAAAAATAATTCAAGTATGTAATTTTTAAATAATATATTTTATTTCCCTTGTCCAAATTAATATGGCACATGTTAAATTTTGATATTTAATCAAAATTTTAATATGTTTTAAATATTTTAAGTTGTGATTAATAGTACTCTTAACGTAATTTTCAAATAATATATGTTACTCCCTTTGTGCCAATTTATCTGGCACATGTGAAATTTTGAGAGTTAATCACATTTTAATATATTTTAAATTTTAAATTATTGTGTTTTATAGAACTCTTAATGTGATTTTCAAATAATATATGGTATTCTCTCAATCCTAATTATGCAGTACATGTGAAATTTTGAAAGGTAATCAAATTTATAATATTTTAAGTTAATTTTTAATACTATTTTATAAATACATAATAAATAAAAAAGAAAATATAAAAATAAAAATAAATTAAAACAGATAAAATACGAAATATAAATAGAAGAAGTTGAGGAGAAGGGCAAACCAATTAATTGACCGGCTGACCCTAAGCTTCTCAACATTCGATTCTATAATATAGTTATGATTTTCAAGTATTTTAAGTTGTTAATTATTGTGATTTATAGAACTCTTAATGTGATTTTCAAATAATATATGGTACTCTCTCCATCCTAATTATGTAGTACATGTGAAATTTCGAGAGGTAATCAAATTTATAATATTTTAAGTTAATTTTTAGCACTATTTTTTTTTATCAAAATGTTAGCTATATTAGAAATTACGAAATGTCAAGCATATTGTTTGATGCTGCAAAAACAAAAGTTTGGGCCGTGATATGGCCAGTTACATAGTTGTTGTTAGGATTAAATTTCCTTAAATACATAGTTCCCGCAATGTCTGCCCAAGTTAGTTTTTTTTTGCACATATTGGGGGAACTAACAAAAAGGTTGATTTTCCAAAGGTGCTTCTCTTCATTCCTTCCTTGCTAAGCATATATGCCACCTTGTTCTGCTCCCTGAAGATATGTGTTGGTGTTCCTGCTTTCACCTTCTCCATTAGTAACCTGTATTATGTGGTTAGGTTAGTATAAGGGTGATTATCATTCTAAAGTAAGTTAATCATTTCTTTTGCAGTTAGTGTTAATTTCCAGTGGTTGTGTTTTGTACTCAAATTCCATAAGCAGTCCTCGCCTAAGGGCTCGCAACTCTGCTAGGATGGGAGTTACAAAAGCTTCCTTACTAGTAAAACCAACTATCCAGTCGCATTTATGGTTTCTGATGACTCCTCCAATACCATCCACTCCAGGCGCATGTTTAACGGCTCCATCTGTTTTGAGTTTGAACTTGCCCATACTAGGAGGTTCCCACTTGACATGGTGATTTGCCGCGAAATCTTGGCACTGTTGTCCAGATGAAACAGATGAAAAGTGGAAAATGAGAGAAATGAAGAAAAAAGTTCAGTAAAACATCAAGTGAAGACCACAGACCACTTCACGGGCCGTGGTCCTCACTACGGTCCGTGGTGCGTGCCGTGAAGTTGAACCAGTGTGCAGGCCAAGAATAGTTGAAGAGGGATTGGAACTAAGTGAATACTACAGACGAGTTCACGAGTCGTGGTCCTCACTACGGTCTGTGGTGCTTGTCATGAAGCAGAACCAGTGTAACGGCCAAGAAGAGTTGGAAGAAGGTTGAAACTCAAGTGAAGATTACGGGCGACTTCACGGGCCATGGTCCTCTCTACGGACTGTGGTAGCTCTCGTGGTGCATTTTCTAGTGTCAAGGCAGTGAAGAACCAATCTTTGGGAAAGTTCAAGGGAAGATCACGGAGGGCTTCACTGCCCGTGAAGTCCTCTACGAGCCGTAGAAGTGGTCGTAGAGCCACCTAACATTTCAGTCCTAGTTCGATAATGACTCATTTTAAACATTCTATTTTGAATTACTTTAGGTCATTTTTGAATATTATACATTTTATCTTATGTTTTACGACGAAGAAATACAACATTACTCTTAGCTTTTGATTTTGGATTTCGATTATTATTATCAGTTCGAAGTTTGGATTCAGACTATCAAATTATCGAAGTGATTGTTGATTTGCTAATTATTTTCGTAAGTCTTTCTTAACATGTTTTCATTCTTCATTACTGATTGTTTACGTTAAAGTATGAGTGGCTAAATACCACGCCTGGGGTTGTGGGATCCATGACGAAATCCTAGTTACGATTTCGTAAAACGAGTAAAGGGTAGTCTATGTTTGCAATCTGTAGTTTTTAGCTTTCAATATCGTTATAATCTAGTGAGTGCACGGATTAGATGAGCATGTATCTGGTATTTGTTCGAGAGAAAAATACCAGTTAGGAAAAAGCTGAACTAAATTAACAAATTGGAGTTAAAGCTTGAGTTTGAGAGGAAAGAAATTTAACACCACATTATTGTAAGCGAGGGTCAATGTTAGTAACACTCTATGGTCGATAGAACATGAGTGATAATCATCTGATTAGGCTGAGAAGTGTCATATGAATTTAACTCGCAATGATTTTGTAAACATTGATTTACCTGACGCTCAATTACGGAAGAACACTAGAACTACTGTTATGGTGAACACAATCCTAGTCTTTCTTAATTAACTGGATCAACCTCACAATGAAATAGTCTATTAGTCGTTAATCTGGATTTTGACTGCAAGTTTTGGTAATTATAACATTTCAACCAAACCCAATTTACTTTTCGTTGTTATTTATTTGGGAGATAATAACAACATTCGAATAAATGCGACAGTGAAACCTTATCTGTAAAGAAATTATCTGTGGGATCGACCTCAACTCTAGCTGAGTTCTGTAAATTGACATCGACCGTTTACACTTCTTATTCGAAGTGTAAGTTTGGACGTATCAAATTTTCGCACCGCTGCCGCGGAATTTCAATTCAAAAGTGTTTTTACTAGCTTTTATTCGATTGGTAGTTATATTTCTTAATTTTACGTTTTGTTCTGTGTTTGTGTCTCTTTCAGATGAGTGCTATGACACGCTCAAATTACACCTCCCTAAAGAAGCATAAGCGATCGTTATCAAGTAAAGAACCCAACTTGTAGGTTGGGGTCGATCCCACAAGGAAAATAGTTTAGACTTTACTTTAACCAACAATTATATTCAATTAGTCAAATTACTTCCATAAACAAGTAATAAAAAATGGGGTTTTTGTAGAACAAATTGTAAAAAATCAATAAATAATCAGTAATCAAAAGTCAGTTTTGGGTTTTTATCAAGATGAGTGAAATAACTAGGGTATCCGTGTTCCCCACAAGCTCATAACGCAGTAATACTAATAATAACAATCCTTTCTTAGTGTATTACATTCAAAGTGATAAGTTAGGTATCTCTAAATCCTTGGTCCGGCATCTAGAGAATTTCACCCCGCACCTTGGTCCGGTTACGTGTGTGTACTTTACTAACCCTTACCTTTACCTCATTTTAGACATCATAATCGATGTTTGGCTTAGTTATTACTTCTCATCAATCGGCACTAGCCTATTAGATAGTATCACACTAAATCTATGTTGATAATTCTTTTCTTATTGATTACCTCCTTGGTCCGGTAAGTAGCAACAAGGCGAGTTCTAACGTTTGCAACCGCTAAAAAGACTTCTAAATGAAAGAATTATCAATGCATGCACCACACTATTCAAGAATTGCTTATTTACTATTCATACTTTGTTAATTGCTCATGGTTCCCACAACCCTAGTTGTGGAGTTTAGTTATGCATAATCATATGACTACAATTCATTGTTTTAGATGGAAGAATTATAAACTTACGTAACAAGAGTAATAAACCCAGAAATTCAACTTGAATTGCAACTCCAAAATCTTCAATACGATCTAAGGAAATTAATAATTACTAAAGTTGCAAGTTAATCTCCCAAGTCAAGAACTAGAATAGAATAATAATGTCTCCCCCAAAAAAACGAGGTTTACATGCCCTATTTATAGAAAACAAGTCCTAAATAAAAAGGGAAACAAAATAAGGAAAGTTTGTTACATGCACGCATCTTCATTCCACGAGACTGACTCACAGACCGTCAATGGATCTACGGTCCGTGAGTCCCTTCCGTCAGCCAGGACTTAGAAAATATTTCAACTTCCAAAAATCAGCTTCTCTGAAGTAAACGACGGAACTGCAGTACGGACCGTAGATCGATCTACGGTCCGTCAAATCCCTTCCGTAGCTCCACACTTTGAATCTTCAAAAATCAGGTACTGGAACCCTCATAGTATCAATCTACGGATCAACAATACGGTCCGTAGATCAATCTACGGACTGTCAATAGGCACCGTGGTTCCACACTTGGTTAGATTTCCCTGATTTTCCTTCCATGCCTTGGCTGCTGATCTACGACTACCATCTACGGAGCGTTAATGGATCTACGGTCCGTAGATGCCCTTTTCTGCAATTCTATCAGTTGTCTCTTTAATTCTGCGCCTGAACATCTTTCCTGCAAAATATGATAAAAACACATGAAAACTAATACAAATAAAACCCTAGACACACACTTGTAAGTGAAATGTATTAGAAATACCATAAACTCACTGTATATCAACACCCTCAACTTAAATTCGTTGTTTGTCCTCAAGCGACGCACTAAGACTCTAAACGACACTTGTATAGAAGCAAGCATTTCAAGCACAAGCAATCATATGGCTCTCTATCCCACTCACTTTCCGGGTGCAAAATTTGTTCTCTTAAACTCGACAAGCTAATTCATGCGAATCAAACCATGACAACGATCGACCAGCCAACACACAACATACACTGTTTTACTATCACCAAAGTACCAACTTTCCGAAAATGCAACTAGTGCCCTTACTTCAAACGAAATCCCTTTTCTTTCACACAATGACTTATGACTTTGAGTACAAGGATTCATTCAACACTCACTCTCAGAAACAACTTCAAGTACAGTTAGTGCTCAATACCATAGGCTTGCCCTTATTTTCACTGCTTAGACGCCCCACATTAGACTCTAGGATCACTATAGGACTTTCTTGGCTTGTAACGTAGGCTCAGGGTCAGGTGTGGTACATTTGGGTACTTCTTAGTAACTTTCTGCCCTCCTTGACATTACAATTGGCTTTCAACCTCTTTCTACCCTATTTTTGTCCTCCTACCGTTTTACCTTCTTTCCCTTGATTTTCTTCAACCATGGATGTGACTTTAGGTTTGGTAGATCTCTCTATTTTTCACTTTTTTTTCTTTCTTGTGTTTTATGCTTTTCCTTTAGTTTTCAACAAGTCACATCCATTCCTCTCTTTTCTCAATATCAAAATCTTTTCATACCGATTTTTCTTTCGGTTTCCTCTTTCATAGCCACCCTTAACTTATGGATTTTTCATTGATCGAGGTGCACAATACCCAATATCGGGACAGGGCCAAGATTGAAGTTACCTTTTAAATTAGCCACCCTTAACTTAGGCTTTTGACCTAAGTCGAGGTGCACCTGTCCAAGGAGGGACCAGGGCTTTGATTCTTGGATGAACTACAGATTAATGGATGATAGGACCCATTTTTGTTTTACTCTTGAAGAATCGTTATAGGAATAAGAAAGGAGAGAAAAGGCCGACCTTTGGCACTTAGGAACATATATACATTTAGTTTCAACTTTGGTCCAAGCGCGGGTCGGGTCAAATTTTGGTAGGACTGGGTTGTAGACTACGGATCGTGAACTTTCCCATGAAGGGCATCACGGTCCGTGAAACAGTCTGTGACTCTGACTTAGATGAAACACTTGAATGAGGAAGACCACGGACTATGAAGCTGCTCGTGAAGAGCATCACGGTCCATGAACCTGTCCGTGACCGTGACTTAGAAACTGAGCATTCATACCTGAGGTTCACGAGAGGCTAGACGGTCCGTACATGCTCTGAAGGATCGTGAACCCTTCTGTGAACCTTTTTCGTGCAATTTCCAGTAGCTTCTTTAGGTTGGTCCTCAATTTGACGGACCGTGAAAGTGCCCGTGAAGGGTACCACGGACCGTGAGACTATCCGTGAAGATCAGTCTGCACGCAGTTACTGCACTTTTCTACCTATTCTCTCCTACACACATCAACACAGTGACTCCATAAAAACAAAGAAAAATAAGGAAAAAGGGAAAAGTACCTAGTACAATAACATCTTGGGTTGCCTCCTAAGAAATGCATAATTTAACGTCACGGCGCGACGCAAGTTACTTGATTACTCAGACTTCATCAAGTTTACATTCCTCTACAATCTTCACATCCTCAGGAACACCCAGATATGCCTTGATTCGCTGGCCATTAGCTTTGAACCTCTCGACCTTATCATTTTCCAGCTCAATAGCACCAGATTGAAACACCTGTGTGACCTTAAAAGGTCCAGACCATTTAGATCTCAGCATTCCTAGAAACAGACGAAGTCTGGAATTGAAGAGTAACACCAAGTCACTATGAGTGAATCTTCTTTTCTCAATATGCTTGTCATTATATAGCTTCATCCTCTCCTTATAAAGTGCATACCTCTCATAGGCTCTCAGACAGTACTCATCCATCTCATTTATCTGATCCAACCTCAAGTTTGCATTTTCGCTGCAACTGAGGTTTAGCTTCTTCAACGCCCAGAGTGCTCTAAGCTCAAGCTCAATCGGCAAATGACATACCTTTCCAAACACCAATCGATATGGAGACATACCAATAGGTGTCTTGAAAGCAGTCTGATATGCCCATAGAGCATCATCTAGCTTCCGTTCCCAATCTATCCTATTGGCATTTAATATCTTCGCTAGGATTGCTTTTAATTCCCTGTTGGAAACCTCTACTTGTCTACTGGTCTGTGGGTGGTAAGGCGTAGCAACCTTGTGTTGTTTCACCCCATACTTGGTCAGAAGAGCACTGAACACCTTATTGCAGAAGTGAGAACCATTATCAGGTGCCAAACCCTGGGAAAATATTCTTCTTCAGGAAGCTAGCTACACTTTTTCAATCATTCTCAGGTAAAGAAATGGCCTCAACCCATTTGGACACATAGTCCACTGCAACCAATATATATTTCTGTCCATAGGAACTTACAAATGGGCCCATGAAATCAATGTCCCACACATCAAACAACTCTACCTCTAAGATGGATGTCATGGGTAACTCATGGTGCCGAGAGATGGCTCTTTGCAGCTGGCACACATCACAACTCCTTACTATGTCCACTGCATCTTGATAAATTATGGGCTGTAGTACCCACACTGAAGTATCTTATGGGTTGTTCGAGCACCTCCATGATGACCACCTACTGGAGATGAGTGACAGGCCTCCAAAATGTGCAGCATCTCAGCTTCAGGAATGCACCGCCTGATGATGTTATCAACACAAATCCTGTACAAATATGGTTCATCCTAGAAATACTTACCTACATCATGCATGAACCTACTTCTTTGCTGAAATGTTAGTCCTTCAGGCATGACATCACTAACAAGAAAATTAGCATAATCAGCAAACTAAGGAATAAGGTCAAGAGTTGCAGCTAATACCTGCTCATCCGGGAATGGATCATCTATTTAAAGCTCTAACTCTTCCTTGTTTGCAGCCTCCAACCTAGACAGGTGATCAATGACCTGGTTCTCACATCCTCTCATATCCTTCACTTCAAATCCAAACTCTTGGAGAAGTAGCACCCATCGGATCAACCTAGGCTTGGCATCTTTCTTTGCTATGAGGTATCTCAGAGCAGCATGGTCTGTATGAACTATCACCTTAGCGCCGAGCAGGTAAGCTCTAAACTTTTCAAATGCATACACCACAACCAATAGTTCCTGCTCAGTGACTGTGTAGCTTCGGTATGCCCCATTCAGTGACTTACTAGCATAGTAAATTGGATGGAGCATCTTGTTGCACTTCTGCCCCAACACAACTCCTAATGAAGTCCCACTAGATCGCACATTACCTCAAATGGCTCTGCCCAGTCTGGGCCAATGATCACTGGTGCTGAAATAAGCTTTTCCTTTAGGCACTCAAAGGCTTTGAGACATGCCTCATCAAAGACAAATTTCACCTCCTTCTCCAAAAGCTTTCACATGGGGTGTGCAATTTAGGAGAAGTCCTTGATGAAACGCCTATAGAATCCGGCATGTCCGAGGAAACTTCGAACACCCTTCACACAGATTGGTGGAGGTAATTTTTCAATAACCTCAATTTTTACCTTGTCGGCCTCAATCCCTTTCTGCGACACTTTGTGACCAAGGACTATGTCGTCCTTTACCATGAAATGGCACTTCTCCCAATTCAGCACTAGGTTGGCCTCCTCGCATCTCTGTAGGGCCCTTCTAAGATTCAACAAATAGTCATCAAAAATATCACCCACTATCGAGAAATTTTCCATAAATACCTCTAAAGTTTCTTCCACCATGTTAGAGAAAATGGACATCATACACCTTTGGAATGTGGCTGGTGCACTACATAGTCCAAATGGCATGCGTTTAAACGCAAAGGTGCCATAAGGACATGTGAAGGTGGTTTTTTATTGATCTTCAGGAGCAATTGATATCTGGTTGTAGCCAGTGTATCCATCTAAGAAACAGTACCACCCTTTACCTGCCAACCTATCAAGCATCTGGTCCATGAAAGGCATGGGGAAATGATCCCTCAAAGTCCACTTGTTCAATTTCTTGTAGTCCATACACACTCGCCACCCAGTGACTGGTCTCTGCGGGACTAACTCATTCTTGGCATTTGCCACCCTATACCGCCCTTTTTGGGAACACATTGCACTGGACTGACCTAGTGACTATCAGAAATGGGATAGACCACCCCAACATCTAACCACTTAATGATTTCCTTTTTTACCACCTCTTGCATAAGTGGGTCCTTCTCTAGTTGAATTTTATAGGTGCATATACCTGGAGGTATTCCAATGATATGAACAATGGTCCACCCAATGGCCCTTTTGTACCTTCTCAAAACCTTGATCACCTCCTGAACATGTTCTTCATTTAAATCTGTAGCCAAGATCACAAGTAAAGTGTTGTTAGTACCCAAGAATACATACCTGAGGTGACTGGGTAATTGTTTTAGTTCCAGCACTGGTGGCTCCTCGATGGATGGTTTTGCTGGAGGGATTGGCCTGTTTTTCAAATCTAGGTCCAATTGCTTTGGAGCATAAGAGTGTGCTCCCATTCCTTGAAATGCATTCACGGTCTCTACATAGTCAGACTTGAAATCAACCTCAAAGTTCATCAACACTGCAACAAGAGTTTCCACAGCCATCCGCTCTTCAATGGGTACTCTCATTTCTTCATCAGTAACCGCCTCTATTGCAGATATGACATTCATATCATGTGGCTGCTTCATGGACCTGCAAATATTGAATTTTACATCATCCTTGTTGAGTCTGAACTTCAGATCACCTCCCTCAACATCCACCAAAGCTCTTCCTGTGGCCAAAAAGGGTCTTCCCAAAATGATGGAACCTCAAAGTCCACTTCGCAATCCAAGATCACGAAATCAACCAGAAAGATAAAGGTGTCCACCTTTACAATTACATCTTATAAGATTCCCATATGCCAATTTACTGACCTATCAGCCATCATCAATCTCATTGATGTGGGTTTTGGAACTCCCAATCCCAATTTCTTATAGATGGCTAATGGCATCAAGTTGATTCTAGCTCCTAGATCACACAAAGGTTTCGCAAACTTGATTGACCCAATGGTGCATGGGATAGTGAATGCACCTGGATCTTCCTTCTTCTGAACCAGAGATCTAGTAGCTTTGGCGCTGCAATGATGAACATCATTAGAGAAGTCAATACTTACGACTATCTTTTTGGTAACCAAGTCTTTCATGAACTTGTCATATCCTGACATTTGCTCCAGGGCTTCCACCAGTGGAATGTTTATTGAAAGTTGTTTCAACATGGTGATGAATTTTGTAAACTTCCCATACTCAACTTTTTTTTGGAGCCATTGAGGGAAAGAAAGAGGTGGTCTGAGAATCTACTGTAAAGGCAAGTTTTCTTTAACCCTTTTCTCTTTTCCTCTTGCAGGTTGTGCTTTAGGTTGAGCATCCTTCAAATCGTCTACTTGCACAGCTTCATCATCCTCTCTGCCAGCTTTCTCCAACACATGTTCATGAATAGTACCTGCAGGAATAGGGTCAGAAAGAATTTTACCACTCCTGGTGGCTATGACCATGCAATGCCCATCCTTCTTAGGATTTTGAATGGTGTCACTTGGTAGCGACCCATTCTTTCTTTGATTTAGTGAGGCTGAGAGTTGCCCCAGCTGCTGCTCAATTTGCTTGATGGAGGTAGTGTAAGAGTCCACCAATTGACTCATGCTCTAAAAATCAACTTTCTAGAGCACTTTGGCCATCATTTCTTCCAGCTTAGACCCACTGGAACTACCACTTGCTCGGTCTCTATTACCTGGGGGCACATAAACACCACTGCGATCGTTCGTGTACCCATCTCTGTTTTTCCAGTTTCCCTGATCTCTATTTGCTGGCCTATCATACTGACCATCCCTAACATAGTTCTGACATGCGTTTCCAAAGTTGTAACCCTGATTTCCAGAGTTATAATTCCAGAAACTTCCTTGGTTCCCCAAGTAGTTGGCTTCCTCATCAAGGTCAATATCTTGATCCTCATACCTGTTTTGCTGTCCCATAACATTTACCTTTTCAGACTTGGCAAAAATATGTTTCGTGAGCAGATCTATTTGTGTTCTCATATGTGCCATGTCTTGGTCTCTTTCTTCTTCTCTCTTCCGTTGTTCAGCTGACATCTCAAATGTGTACCCAAGCTCGCCTACCTCTACATCTCTAGTGTACCATGATCTGTTATTCTTTGACACTTCATCCAACAACTGCATACTTTTCGAGAATGGCTTCCTCATGAATGATCCTCCACAAACTGCATCAACAACGGGTTTAGTGACATAGTTTAAAGATCTATAGAAAGCTTGTTTCAGATGCCTCTCAGTAAAATCATGGTTAGGACATTTCTTCAGCTTTTGGCTGAATCTCCACCAAGTGTCATGCATTGCTTTCTCCTGGTAGCTAGCTGCTTGTGTGTACTTATCTCATCCTTCATGTGCAACTCTTTTGATTCTGGGAAGAATCGTTCCTGGAAAGCTTCCTTCAGCTCATTCCAAGTTCTGATGGAGTCATCTGGCATCTCATTCAACCAGTTAGTCATCTCTCCAGTACGAGACAATGGAAACAACCTCAACCTCATTGCTGTTTGGTTAACCCCAGGAATATCTTGTGAATTACAGATTGCCACAAAATTCATTAGGTGCTGGTTCGCATCATCACCAGCTGCACCCCTGAACATACCCTTCAGGTTCAACAATTGAATCATAGTGCTGTTGATTGTTAACTTAACACCTGGAGGTAGTGCAGGTAACACTATCACTCCAGTGGCTCTAGCTCCATCTAAATCTATATCATCCTCGTCATACATCATATGCACTGGATGCTGAGCTCTACCTCTTAGAGCTATTGGTTGGCGCCGGGGAGGGATTAAATCCACTCCTCTATTTTCATAAACCACCCTAGGTTGGTTGTTCCCACCGTTCTGCTGAACACATCTTGCAACGGCCTAATGAGTCCACAAATTGGACTTATTTAGGGCTTTATTTTGATAGAAATAGTGTCCTCGAATGCTTATTTTGTCTCAATATCTGATGAAAACTCTTAAGTTTCAGGTATTTGAAGTTTTAGTGGAAGCATGGACACTTAGGTGCAAAAAGGAACAAAAAGGCTAAAAAGAATAAAGAAGTTGAAGCATGAGCATCACCAAGAACCTTTGGTGATTCGCCGAAAGGATAGACTCCCTTCTTTGTTCCAGTATGCGAAGCCTTGAAGGAAGAGGATCAAAAAGGCAATGAAAGGAGAAGTCGGCGCTTCACCGAATATTTTCGCGAAGCAGTACTATACCGCCCAATGGTCCAGAACGTGAAGATGTTGTAGGCAAGCACCCAACGACGATGAGACAGAAGAAGGGCGAGTCGCCGAGTCATTCGGCGGACTCGACTAACTTCGTCGAACTATCCACCTGCACAAATTTTTGAAGTCTATAAATACTAAACTTGTTATTAATTTTATAAGTCCCGAACCATTATTATTATTTTCATAATAGAATAGTATGGTTTTAGATATTTTCTCTCAAGTTTGGAGAGGGTATTGTGGGAGACTTGAAGAGAGAAGGATTTCATCTTCCCCAAGTTGGAAGTGGGTCTTCTTCTTTCTTCTTCCTTTGCTTAAATCAATGTTTAATTTCTTATACCCATTTGATTTTAGTATCATTTTAGGTGTATTTTGTTATTTCTTGATGTGTGGCTAAACACCCCCATTCTTGGGGTGTGATTTAGCAAATATGTATTGATATTGTTGTTGGGTCTTGCTTGCTGATAGGATAGATGTATTTTAATGGTGATTTCACCTAGTGGTTGTGATTTAATTTAATGGGTTTGTAGTTGCAAATACAAAACCACCCATGTGTTTTTGGCTTGCCCGAGAGGGAGGTCACGAAACCAAGAGCACTAGACTGATGGCCTAAGGAGTGGGTCGACATGAGGTTCAGCCCAAGAGGGTGAGCCCTAGTCCCATATCCTAACACTCAGCTCGAGAGAGTGAGTGGGGTAAGGCGTAGGCGGGTCTTCATGCGGCAAATGGGTGTCTGAGAGGAACCCATTTGAAACGGGGTAAGTTACCCGAGAGGGAACTTATTTCCATCTAACGCTTAGCCGAGTCACTATTATCTTGCAAATTTTCTACTGAAAGCATGTACCCAACGATTTATCTCAACTTATATTGTGGTCACACCCCAAGAATATTTCTCCATACTTGATTTTCTTGTTAATTTTTGCTATTTTTCCTACTTGTGACAAAAACCCCAAATCGATATTTGACACTTTTGTGTTGCCCCCTTTAATTTACTATGTTTTTAATCATTAATGTCTTTAGTTACGACTAGTTAGAGCTTAATTTTATTTTTCTATTAATTCTCAAAACCACTCCCTTGGCATACGACCCCAACCTTTAGTTGGGTTACTATACTATCGACGATCATAGACACTCATACCGTAGGTTAGTGTCATAGGTCACGATAAGCATCAAAATGGCGCCGCTGCCGGGGAGTGGTGTTATTTGAGAATTTTTAGATTAGTAGAATTTTCGTTCTTCTTAGTTGTAGTTTACTAATTTAATTTTTAGTTTTGTTCTGTTGATTGTGTAAACATTTAAGAAAGCATGAGTGTTAACGGTAGTAACTGGAGCCAAGTGGGCCATCAGGACGACATTGGTAACCTCAACGATGTCCAAGATCCCAATATCAACGATCCACATCTCATGGGAGGTGTTGGATCCATCCGTCTACCTCCAGCAGAGGGAAATGCGGTGTTCCAT